TGCCTCCTGAGTGCTGGGATTAAAGGCGTGTGCCACCATGCCCGGCTTATTTATTTTTAAATATTGTATTTATTATTTTTATTTTATGTGTGTTATGCCTGCATGTAAGTAAGTGCACCCATGTCATGCAATGTCCATGGAGGACAGAAGAGGCTGTTGGATCCCCAGGAACTGGAGTTACAGACAGTTGTAAGCTGCCATGTGGGTGCTGGGATTCGAACCAGGGTCTTCTACAAGAACAACCGGTGTTCTTAATCGCTGAGCCATCTCTCCAGCCCCCCGAATTAATTAATTTTTAAGAAACCCACCTACGATGCAAATAAGGCCACACTCTAGAGCGAGCTGCCAGCTTGTGATGTGGCCACACACCGCGAGCTCTTAAAATGGTGCAACCCAGTGCCATGCTGAAGCAATTGAGGTAGTAATTGCACTCATGGATTATATCACAAGAAAGACTTTTCTTGAGTGAAAACAGCACTGCTGTATGGAAAGATGAATTATATTGGCCTCTGTTTAGAAGATTTCACCCTAAATTAAGTGTGATCCTGTGCCTAAGGGGATTGCATCATTTGCGAGAAAAACAAAACAAAGCAGATAAGCTCTGACAGTTCTCACAGTCTCCTTGTTTTTTCTCCTCTGCCGTTTGTTCTGAGAAAGACGGTGCAGACTGTCAGAGCTTCACACTGGCACGTAGCTCTAGGCCAGGCCAAGGCTGCTTTCAGCTTCATTCAGTCCCTAGGAATTCCCAGTGACTCGAGCAGTCATGGACAAATAGCTTCCCATTTCTAGGCCTTAGTCGTCTTCATTTAATGCAAGAGATCTGAAACTGGGTGTTAAGAAAGAGTTCAATGGAGAAATAAAATTTTTTAGAAATTGTCTCTTCTAGAGCTTCTGGCCAATAGTTCTACAATATAGTTTTGTCTTTTCAAAGGTTTTTAGTTAGCACAAAGCTAGTGGGGGAACATGCTCTTATCGTAAAGATAACCGGAGGCAAGTAGGCGTCAAGTCTGGAACGCAGTGCCCCAAAACTTCTGGTTCCGAGCATCCCTCTTCAGTTCTGCCCACTCTTCACTCCGTCTGCACAGGTCTAGGGAGCCACAGTTCTAGCTTAAAGAACCATCAGGTGATTATGGGTATCACAGAACCCTTACAGAGGGTGAGGTGGAGCCAGGTAAGTGCTACATCCCCTGGTCTTTCCCTGCCCACCTTTGCTCTCCTCTAGGAGAACCTTCCCTTGTATTATGCAAAGGTGGAGTTGAGGTCCCCTCCGGCCTCTAAAATATCCAACCTGAGCATCGTGGAGCTGTGCTCTATTGCCTGCTAGACAGCAGCTTCAATAAGGCTTGGAACCAGAAACCGAATGTGAGCTCTAATAACCCTGAGGTGGTAGAGTCTGCTGTTACTGTTATAGGACAGAATTCATTAAAAAATCACCAACACCACTTTAAGAAAAGTAGCAAGGTAAATTTTAATTTTCGGCCGGCCGGGCTGTCGGCTATCTCGGGAATAGAAGCAGCCCTGATGATTGTCAGATCAGAGTTTTTATAGGATATAAGAAATATTATTCAAACAGGACATTTGTGAACCAATCAGTTAATCAACAACCAATCATTATACAGACAAGTGATACAGTCATATATCTTGGCACTCAACTTTGTGACCTTAAAACTGGCCAACTGTTTTAGCCATAATAAGTGTAATAAGACAGTCAAGGTAAATGACTTCTAGGTGGTCATACAATAACAAGATAACAAGGGTGGTCTTATGCCCTGTGTCAAGGCGACCCAAGACATCAAGCGGGTTACAGAAGCAAAACAAGCTGGTTAGTAAAAATATAATATCTGGAACTAGCACATTCCATGATTCATGGCGAGGGCAATTTTCCAAGGCCCAAGGTTGCCCCCTTTTCCTTCTGGTGTGGAGCAGAGTTGCTGCTGAAGTAGCTCTGAACAGAATGGAGTAACTAGGGAAGTTCGCTGAGCCCGCCCAAGGTTGCCCCCCTTTTCCTTTTGGCGTGGAGCAAATTTGCTGCTGAAATGGCTCTGAACAGAATGGAGTAACAGGGAAGTTCGCTGAGCCAGTTCAGTTATTACTGTGCTTTTTGTGGTGTATTAAATCACATTCCGTTTTACCTTCTGGGCTGAGATCTCCTGATCAAAGGGCTGCTTGTTACTTATCTCAATCTCTCTGTGTTAGGAGCTCAGTACCCTTGTAATAATCAAACAAATGGGTGTTATTTAGGAAGGCCTGAATCTGAATTGTGGATGAGCACTTAGAGGTTAAACCTCAGTTTCGTGATCTCCCTTGATGAGCACACAGCTTGTGCCTGGCTCGTGACAAACAATGATCAAAACATAGTAGGGGTGTGGGAACAGCAGGCTCCACATCTCTGTCCTTGTTGCTACTGGACTCCCTAGAGTGTCATAGTTGCCATAGCACATGGTTGGAGCAAGCATGGAAGAGCAGTGGGATGAAGCAGGGCCACTGAAGGGGACTTGCCTCCTGAAGACTCTGGTGGCCCTGGGTAGTTGGGGCTGGGGCTCACCTCCTCCCTACTTGTACTGCTTAGTTAACATTCTCTGCAGCCTGCCACTGCAGCCTAGCTCAGGACGCTGGAACTCCCCCTTGGGGCTCCCCTCTTCCTCAGCCCTGGCTCCTGTTACCTGCATGGCTGCCATAGCAACAGGTTCCAGGGTGACAAAGGAGGGAGCTGTGTCTCTGTTGGATAAGGATTTTCAGACCATAGAGACTGCTCTGTTTTGTGCACATCCAAGCTCTTTCTGTGTTATCCCTCAGGCTGAGCTCACACTTTCACTCCTGCACGCAGGACCATGTCTACTAGCCTGACCACTTGTGAGTGGAAAAAGGTCTTCTATGAAAAGATGGAGGTGGCAAAGCCAGCTGACAGCTGGGAGCTCATTATAGACCCCAACCTCAAGCCCAATGAGCTGGGTCCTGGCTGGAAGCAGTACCTGGAGCAGCACGCCTCAGGCAGGTGAGAGGTGGGAGGGCTGCGCAGGTGACACCTGGGTCACAGACTTTCCAAGGACAGGTGGTGTGGGGCTGCCATTGGTCTCGCTGTGTCAGCTCGGGTGGCCAGCAGAGAACGGGCTGCTGGGAGAGCAGAGCCTTTGGTTCTAACCACAGCTGTTCAGGCTCCATGATTATTCTGAACAAGTTATGCTCCACATTTGGGTCTCAGGTTTCCACAAAAAAATGAGAAACTGCAATGTCTTGGCAAATTTAAAGAATTACGGAGTAGTTGGAATGGAGAGGAGGGGCCATGAGGTTCTCTGAAAAAATTGCAACCTAGGAATCAGCGAACTTGTGCTCTGGGCCTGTGGACCTATCTTTGGTCAATTAAATGCAACTTGACTTGAATACAAAGTAAGTTATTGACCAGGTATGTACTAGAAAATAGCCCCAAAGCTCTGTGAACTTGGGCATGTCCTTTTGGCTTTCAGTTTTCACATTTACAAAGGAGTATCACCACTCAAATCCCCCCAGTCTTACTGTCTATCTAAGGGTCTGTGACAAAAAGGCTTAACTCTGGGCTGGGCTCTCCTTAGTGTTCCCCACTTTCTAAGTGCTCCATACCTACCACCATGCAAAAACGTCCTTGAGGCTAGAGAACATGTCATCCTTAAATCTTACATAATTTTCCTGTGAAAGACGGATAATTTGGGACTGGGGTCACAGAGTTTCCCACTCACACTGCTTCAAGCCCACTCTCAGAGGCTTTTGGATTCAAGGGCTTTTGGATTCAAGGGAATCCTTGGGCTTTTGGATTCAAGGGAAATAAGCAGGCGGTTGTATTTTGGGAGTATGAACCAAACATGGGCATAGAGAGTGAGTTATCTACAACCTGTGTGAATCCTCTAGGGTGGAGTGGAGAATGACATGAAGCTAGGAGCAGGAGACAGGCTATGGGTGTGTGTGAGGGGTAGGGCTTTGTACTACAAGACTTGTGAACAGTTCGATGGAGCCTGTCTTCAAAAAAAAAAAAAAAAAAAAAACAGAACAGAGGTTGATTGGTTCCTTCTGGTTCAAATCAATTCAAGGAACATCTGTTTGGTCCTGCTACAGGCTGTGCACTGACTATGTATGAGTGGATGGGTCTCTGGCTGTATAAGAGTGGATAGCTTTCTCTCTCTCTCTCTCTCTCTCTCTCTCTCTCTGGCTATATATACATAGATGGCTCTCTCTCTCTCTCTGGCTATGTGTGCATGAATGGCTCTCTATCTGGCTGTGTGAACATGGATGTCCCTCTCTCTGTGTGTGCATGGAGAGGAGTCTCTCTCTCTCTCTCTCTCTCTCTCTCTCTCTCTGGCTGTGTATATATAGATGGCTCTCTGTTTGACTGTGTGTGCATAGATGGCTCTCTCTCTGGCTGTAGATAGATAGATGATAGATAGATAGATAGATAGATAGATAGATAGATAGATGGATGGATGGATGATGGATGGATGGATGGATTAATGGATGGATAGATAGATAGAAAGAAAGATGGTTCTCTCTCTGGCTGTGTATACATAGATGGCCCTCTCTCTGGCTGTGTGTGCGTGGATGGCTCTCTGATTCTATGTGCCTCAGTTTCATCTCATCAAAAATGCTTACCCAGGTCTGATATTTTTTAGATGTAAGACTGGGATCTGGCTTGAGGGAGTGGAAAGAATTCTGAACTGGCTGCTAGAAAGATGTAAAAGAAGACTGAACTCATGAAGCATATGAGCTGCCCAGAGGAAGAGGTGAAAGCTAGGAACTGGCAAATGGGGGGTTTAGGGACAGCTCCACAGGCTCATAGTTCTCACCTCAGGCTCAGTCCCAGATGACTTCAGCAGGGTTAGAGAACAGCTGCCCTGGTTTTCATCCTATCCACAGGATCTTTTGCCTTTAAGCTTTTAGATGTACTAAGCCCAAGGCCCTTTGTACCGTTGTCCTTATGGATAGGCAGGAGGAGGTGCTTTTGGTGCAGGACCAATAAGACTCCTCTGCCCTCCCACCCCTCTCTTGGGTGTTCAGTGGCCTCCTGGGATCAGAGACTGGCATGGTTTCACTGCAATTCCAGAGTGGGCTGAGTAGTGCTTAGCATACAGTAGATGCTGATTGATGCCTATTGAATTGAATTGAGTTCTTCATCAGAGGTCTTTCAAAGCTAGTATGCAATGAATGGGCCTAGGCAGAGCCAGAGACAAGGGTAGAATCAGCACACTGGATATGCAACCACCTCTGAAGCCTTTGTAAGAAGAGCTTAGCAGAGGCCATCTCAGGGGTGGAAGGAGCTTCCCTGCCTGCTTTTAGTGAGTGCTCTATCACAGAAGGGTGTGTAAGCAAGTAGGGGTTAGGGAGGCTGGGGTGTGGCAGGGTAAACCCAGGCCACCCCCTTTCATACTTCCTAAGGCTGTGACTCGACCCAGGGTGGATAAAGTTGACTGCGTTTGTGTGTCGTATGAGTGGAGGGGGCACCGTACTAGGGAAGGACAGTAATAAGGGATCTTCAGGACTGCTATGGACATCTTGTCCAGGGTCTGAGGAGTGCTCTTTGTGAAGGTGTAGGAACCGCACTTGACAGTCTCTGATCCAGTCTACTGACATCTGCCAATCTATCATGTTATTCTCAGTATCTTATTAAGGACCTACAGTGTGCTGGGATCTGTGCTTCGCATCTCTCCTCAGAACAAGCAAGATGCATCAGTTAGATGGTGCACATCATGCCCCCATCCATGTTATGGAAGGTCTGAGTGAAATACCCGTGATCAACAGCGTTACAGCAATGCTCACAGATGAGAAATGAGGTCCAGAAGGGGGAGCAGCACTCCTCCCTGTCATTGACCAGCTGTAATTCTGCACCAGGCTTGGGTGGTGGGTAGAGGCTGCAAGAAGCCGTGCACGAGGCAGGTTCCAGACTGGGGCTGGTTGCCTATTGTTTCCCGTGCTAAGCTCCTGAGGACGCTGCTCTCTGGTCCCAAAGGTAGTAACAAGGAGGAGGTGGCGGCTGGTGACCTCGGAGCACTAACGAACAGAGTGGTAAACACCCCACTTTGATTTTGAGGCCCAGGCCTTTCCTTTTCTGGGCTCTGCAGGGCAGGCTGTCACCCAGAGCCTCAACTGCTCCGTTCTTCCCCTCGCCGCAGGTTCCACTGCTCCTGGTGCTGGCACACCTGGCAGTCTGCCAATGTGGTCATCCTCTTCCACATGCACCTGGACCGCACCCAGCGGATAGGTTCTGTACGCATGCGCGTTTTCAAGCAGCTGTGCTACGAGTGCGGCACCGCGCGTCTGGACGAGTCCAGCATGCTGGAGGAGAACATCGAGGGCCTGGTGGACAACCTCATCACCAGTCTGCGTGACCAGTGCTATGACGAGGATGGAGGCCAGTACCGCATCCACGTGGCCAGCCGCCCAGACAGCGGGCCGCACCGCAGCGAGTTCTGCGAGGCCTGCCAGGAAGGCATCGTGCACTGGAAGCCCGGCGAGAAGCTGCTGGAGGAAGAGGCCGCCTTTGCCGAAGCCTCCAAGCTGACCCGGGCGGGCTTTGGCTACAACTTGTTGTCATTTCGCTGGTGCCTCCTCTGGGGCGCCCTCTGCCTGGTCATTGCCTACCTGCAGTTCTTCCGGGGCCGCTCTGGCTTCCTTTAGCAGCCTGGTTAGGGGTGGGGAGAGGGGACATGGAGTGAGTGGGAAGGACTCCTGACTCTGCTGCAGTCTATGACCCTGGGCGACACAGTCAGGTGCACACCACTCACGCTTCTGCCTTAAGAGATACTCAGTGGTCCTTCCACTGCACTTACAGTAAGATCGACAGTAAGATGGGAGGGTTGGGAGTTTGCCGGGTTTGGTGTGAGTCTGAAGTCCACACGGAGGCCTCCTTCTTCCTTTCCGGATCCCATCTTCCGCCTCCCTGCTCTTCTGTTGCTTTCTGTATGTATCCTGTACCCTGCTACACTCCATTAAGGCTCATCTCCACCTTGTTGCATCCCCACGCTCACCTTCAGCTCTCCCTGCCGTGCATGCTATCCAGTGTACGGGGAGTCAACTGGTCCGTCTCCCGGGGATTCTGCTCCCACCACTCTGAAATGCTCAGGGTTTCACTCCGGCTCTAAGGTCCCTGGGCTGGGATGGTCTAGAACTTATTGTCTAATGTGTTAGCCTTTGGTCATATGTGGCTGTTTCAATTTAAATCAATTAAAATGAAATAAAATAACTATTTTGTTCCTCAGTAGTGCCGGGCTCAGCTGAGCTGGCACAGAATATGCCCTGTGAGGCCACTGCTCAACTGCAGACAAGGGTGGCTTCTGGGAAGACGAACTCCAAGGGGATTGCGCGTCAAGTGGTCCCCAGAGGACCTCCACCCTCTTAGGTCTATCCGTTTCAATTTAAATCAATTAAAATGAAATAAAATAACTATTTTGTTCCTCAGTAGTGCCGGGCTCAGCTGAGCTGGCACAGAATATGCCCTGTGAGGCCACTGCTCAACTGCAGACAAGGGTGGCTTCTGGGAAGACGAACACCAAGGGGATTGCACGTCAAGTGGTCCCCAGAGGACCTCCACCCTCTTAGGTCTATCTGCTTCAGGAACCTCAAGGCAAGGTAGAAGAACAGGGTTGGGAGGGAGAGGTGCCAGCTTGCATCTCTAGCTAAAATGTTTTTTGTCTCCAGGAATAGACTGCCAAAATCCTTTCAAGAGGAAGGGTCATGCCTCAGATGGTCAGTAAAGGTGGGGCATCTGGTGTCTGCAGGTGGAGGAAGAGTCACTGAAAATGAATGTGAGGGCCAAGAAGCTCGAATAGGTGAAGAGAAGTGAGGTTAGGTGCCATTCTCCAGAAGCTCATTTTCCTCTGCATAGAAATAACTTTGAGCTTTTTCTTCATATCTAACTAGCAATCTTTCTCTGACTGCACGTTCCTTTTAACTATTGCAGTGTGCTTCTTATCCTTTTAGAACCAAGGCTGGAGGAAGGAGATTACATTTGTTTCCTCCACTGTTTCCTGATTAACTTCTGGAAACGTCATTTCTATGTCCCTGCAAGAGCCACTCACTCCATAGCTCACTATCAAACTACTGGCTGCTCTCTCTGCATCGACTTGATGTTTCTGGCATTTTATATTTCTCCTTTTCTGTTAATTTCCTATTAGTTGAAGAAATGAGTTTCATTACAATATTTTTACTACATTTAGACTCTGTATTTCTATCATATGTACCCCCTGTCACCCTCTCTTGTCCTGTGGCTAACCCCCCACCCCCAAGTAATCTCTTTCCTGCTTCCCTGTCTGTTTAAACAGATCTCCATTCCACATAGGAGAGAAAGCATGTGATGGTTGTCTCCCTTGGTCTAACTTATCTTGCTTAATATGATCTCCAATTCCATCCATTTTTAAAAATAAATGGCATGATTTTATTTTTCCTTGTGACTGAATATTACACCACTCTGTGCATACACCACATTTTCTTTATCCATTAACCTGATAGTGGGTGATTTTGTTTGATTTCATAACTTGGCTATTGTGAATAGTGTTGCAATAAACATGGGTGTGCAGATATCTCTGCACTTAGATTCCTTTTGGTGTATACCCAGTAGTGGTATAGACAGGTCCTAGGGTGGTTTTCTTTGTAGTTCCGTCAGGAACTACATACTGACTTTCATAGTATCTGGGCAGCACCCGTTTCTCCATACTTTATCATCCTTCTCTCTCCACTGAAGTGATCTTGTGGACACTTCCCTTGTCCATCCTTTATATGCCCTGAGTGCCCAGGGTTCTCCTTTCCTCACTTCTCCTTAATAATATACCCACAACTTAGGTTTTTGCCATAAGCTCTCAGTGTCTGTGACTCTGGACGCTTTCACGTGGAGCTCCACAGGTCACAGACACAAGATATGACCACTAGGAGCTCCCTTTAAACGCAGCACAGCCAAAGCTGCATCCAAATCCTGTTCTCTGCTTCTTAGAAACCCAATGTTATCTTCTGATCCTCCTTCACCACGTACTTCAAACCCTGCACTACTTGGCCACCATGTTCTGTGTCTTGTTTGCTGTTCTTCTTCCTACGCAATACTGCCCAAACTTTGTCATTTACTGTCTCTTGCCTTAGTACTCTTAATCGTTTTCATGCCTGTACCTCTGTCCTTACTCTTGTGGGAATTAACCTCAGATTGGCCTGGCCCGTTGAGAAGTCTCAAATCATACTCAGGATGCAGCGGAAATTGTTATTTGTTATACACAGGTCTCAGTCTGGGCAAAACCTGCTCCAGAAAAACTGAAGCCCTGACCAGAAATACAACAGGTTTTTATACAATTTTTCGCATCATCCCTTGGCAGTAATCATATTGGTGAACTTGATGCTTTCAGCCCCTTAGGTTATTATGGGAAATTTAAACTGTTAGCTTTTTACAAAGAAGCAGATTTTTTTGGCTTAAGTCTGGCATAACTTTCCAGCAATATGCTGATGCTAGTAAAATCTTAGCTATTAAAAAAAAATAAGACACGTGGTAGCTGGTGCTTCCTGAAAGACCATTGCAAGAGGCAGCATTTTCCAAGTTGCTCACAGACTGTGGTTTCTGTAGTGGTCTGCCTTGCCTTATCTCAGCCTGAGACTGAGCTCAGAGTGGCCTTTATGATTTGAGTACCAGTAGATGCTTCCAAAATTGTAGCTGTTATTATACACATATTAACAAGTATATTCATTGTTGGGAGTACATAAAGTTGTTGTCAAGTACTTAGCTTAGTACTTATTCCTCTGTTAACAAGTATATTCATTGTTGGGAGTACATAAAGTTGTTGTCAAGTACTTAGTACTTATTCCTCTGCCACACAGAACAAAGTTATACCGGTTGTAGTTCATTAGTTCCACACTAGGTTAATTTTCCTCATCGTTACCACCCATCCTGCTTAGATTTGTTGTGTGACATTATTTCTGGAAAGATGTGAACCAACATCTGTTCATCTCAGATAGGGAACCAACGACAGATCAGAGTCCATGGATACCACCAAAGTCCAACTTGGTGAGACAGTGAGTTTTACTGGGGTTGTTTATAGGGATATAGGTGAGGAATTACAGAAACAGAAAAGAATCAAAGACAGCTGCATCACTGAAAGGCCACCCCAGCACGGGTGACGGCTCACAAAGCTGGAAACCTAGAGCTCACTGCATGACTTGCAGGCAGCTCAACAGGTCGGAGAGTGTCCTTTCCAGGTAACTCCATCAGTCTGAGTCTCTTCCAGAAAGCTTGGCTGATTTCTGTTTTTTCCAGGTAACTCAGCTCCTCTGAAAGTATCTCTCAGGAGTTCTTACTGCTCATATAAACTTGGGGAATGAGGGGCCCTAATGAATTAGCCAGGCATCCTTCATTTCCTACATAATAACACATGACACTCATTGAGAAGGAACTCCATAATATGCCATTATAATTGTTTTCTCTGTCTGAGGTGCTTTGCTAAAAGCACTTTGTGTGTCTTGTCTCATTTAATTCTGAAAATAACTCTTCAAGGCAGATACTTTATGCTGAGGCTTATGGAGTTTCCAAAACTGCTTTACAGAGCTGAGATGGAAATCAACTCTGACTCCAGAACTTGAATTTCTAAACACTGTGCTGTCTTGCTGGGATCCACCTCTGCTCCCTAGGATCCTGTCAGTGATTGGCTTTCAAGATTTCCTTCAGCCTAAGCTTCAGCACTGACTCCCACTGAGGCCTGTCACAGCTACACACAGTGGTGGGCTCTTACTGCCTCAAGGCCACCTCTACTACTGCACGTACATCGCTGTTTTCACTGCTTGCTCGTATCTGCATCATTGTCGGCTGGTCTTCATCTCTATGTCCCCAGCACCCAACACAGAGTAACTGCTTAATCAGTACAGTTGACTGACTAAATTATTTTCCTGTTAGGTGCAAAACATATCATCTTCCCTTCCCTGAAGAACACATCTATTATCATTCTTCCAGCAGGGATGGGAAGGAAATCTTGACTTTGCACCAACTATCATGTAATTACTAACACACGTAGGAAACTGAGGCTTAGTGAGATGTCCAGTACCGTAAGGTTTGTTGTTGGCTTAGATCTAGTATGGGAGCCCAGAATGGCAAGAAATGAAGATTCAAGCCTATCTGAACTACATGACACACGATGAGGCTCAGTTCAAGGGCCATCACAAAGACCATAGCACTTGTCAGGAAGAAAGAGCCAAACCACTAGTATCCAGATGACTGCTGGGCTTCAGATCATTACCTGAAGACAGAATAAATTGAAAGTAAAAAAAATAAATAAATCTTTCTGAGAACCGTGAAGTTATGATAGTTGAGATGAAACTTGGAGAGAACTCTGTAGACACTTGGTGTGAGATGGCACAGAGCCCATGCAAGTTTGTGGCTGTAAAATGGAATGAGCATTTCTTCTCCAGCTCTGTCTTTAGCTTCTGTGTGCATGCTGTAGGTGTTAGTGGAGGCACGGCTCTCTCATTGTCTTGCATAGCTCTCTGCTCATTTTGTACCATTGAATAAGCAGGTGTACCTTTCACTGCCATTTGGCAGTTATTGTACAGTACCTGGCTAAGAGGACAAGACAGCACACAAAGGAATGCTATGCTTATGAATCTCACGTGTTCAAAGAATACAACTGTGTTTCATTATGTATTGTTATGCACAA